ATTCGTGATTGGCCACGACCTCAGTCCGTGACTGAGATGAGATCTTTCTTAGGAATGACAGGCTACTACCGGACTTTTGTAAAGAACTATAGCATTGTGGCCGCTCCTTTGACTGATCTGACCCGCCTTGACACCCCTTGGGAGTGGACAGATGAGTGCGAGGCTGCTTTCAGACATCTGAAGCATGCATTGACACACTATGAAGTCTTGAAGCTACCCGATCCTGATAAGCCATTTATAGTAACCATGGATGCTAGCCAATATGGCATTGGCGCCGTGCTTGCGCAGCAGGAGGGGCGAAAGTTGAGGCGAGTTGAGTACATGTCTAAGAAAATGCCGTCTCAGAAGTTGGCTAAGTCCACTTATGAGAAGGAACTTTATGCGGTGTACAAGGCTCTCACCGATTGGAGACACTATCTCCTTGGGAGGTTCTTCATCCTCAGAACTGATCATCAGACCCTGAAATGGATGAGAACCCAGCCGGTACTCTCTGGCGCTCTCAAGCGTTGGATCGAAGTCATTGAGCAATAAGACTTTGACCCTCAGTATCTTAAAGGAGAGTACAACAAGGTTGCTGATGCCTTGTCGCGCAGACCGGACTTCTCAGGTGCGCTGATTACTGAGTTCAGTCTCACGGACAATGTTACTCAATCCTTGGTGGAAGCCTATCGCGAGGACCAGTTTATGTCTGAGATCATACGCAGACTTGAGGGGAAGGACAAGAAGACGTCCGCCGAGTTTGAGTTCGTTAATGGCTTGCTGTTCCTTGAGAAGGCAGGGAATAAATGATTGTGTGTTCCCAATAGTGAGTCTTTGCGTAGTTTGTTTCTAGGTGAGTGTCATGATGCCACCGGTCATTTTGGGTATAAGAAGACCGCAGCCAACTTGCTGCAGCGATTCTGGTGGCCCACGATGATGCGAGATGCACAGCTGTACGTGGAGACTTGTCAAGTTTGTCAACAAGACAAGCCCCGTACTCAGGCTCCTCTTGGGCTGCTTAAGCCCCTTCCGATTCCGGAAAGGCCGGGTGAAAGCTTGTCCATGGACTTCATGGATACGCTGGTCACCAGCAAGAGTGGGATGAGGCAGATCTTCGTCATTGTGGATAGGTTTAGCAAGTATGCTAGGTTAATAGCCATGCCGGAAACAGCGAACACCGAGTATGTAATCAGGCTGTTCAAAGAGAATTGGGTGAGGGATTTTGAATTGCCTAAGTCTATTGTAAGTGACATGGATGTCAGATTTACAAGTGAATTATGGAGGGCCGCTGCAGCTGAACAAGGAACTCAACTGCAGATGACTTCTGGAAACCATCCAGAAGCAAACGGCCAGGCTGAACAGATGAACCGCGCTGTCCAACACCTGTTGAGGCATTGCATTAAGCCCAACCAGGTGGACTGGGACGAGAAGCTTGCTCTTGTCGCCAGTCTGTACAATAACGCTGTACACAGCGCTACCGGTGTAAGTCCTAACAGTCTACATCTAACCTTTAGGCCTAGACTGCCTTTAGACTTCCTACTTCCTGATAACCAGCCAACTGTTACGCCGGGCACTTTGGAGTTCGCGTATCGTTATGAACAGAAGATGCAGGAGGCTGTAGAGCACATATAGAAGGCGCAGGCAGCAATGATAGAATCTGAGAATAAACACCGCCGCCCTTCTACATTTCAGGTTGGGGACAGAGTCTGGGTGAAATCTTCAGAACTGGGACAGGAGTTCGGGATATCCCGCAAACTCATGCCTCAGTACTTTGGACCTTGGGAAGTTTTAGACGTAGTAGGGACAAATCCTGATGGTCCATCATATGTCATCCGTATCCCTGGTCATCTCAGAACTTACCCTGTCTTTCACGCCTCTAAGCTTGCTGCATCCAAGGAAACTGATCAGTTTCCCTCTCGTCGATCCATGCTGCCCCCAACCATGGACGGAGAAGTCGACATCGATGATATYGTTGACCAYAGGGAGATGCCWGTTCARAAGCCTCCAGGAAGGGGACGTCCTCCAAAGCCAAAGCTGCAGTTCCGAGTCCACTTCAGACATCATACAGATCCGAAGGAGGACCGCTGGTTTACTCGGGAGGAACTGATGCAGACCGCTCCTCAAATCGTTGCCCGCTATGAGATGGATGTACTGAAAGGAAAGCACCAGATGGCTGCAGATTGATCTTCGCAGAGGACTAACGAAGATATGGAGGAGGGAATGCGAGGCTACGCCCGCTTAGCCCCTACGGGGCCCTATCTGCAACAAGGTCGGCCGCCCTAAGTGAAGGCAGATACGACAGGCCCTTCGAGCCTCATTCTTCAGGGTACCCCCCATCGGGGAAATTCAGACAGTTGCGTTGCGCCAGTTGGTTGAATGAATCCAGGCCCTGGGCCGCCTGTGTAAATGAATGTGAAGCAGGCCCTAGGCTGGATACGGGTACCGGGCCAAACACAGGCCGGAAGTAGTTGGGCGCATGCAACCACTTCAGGCCCAAGGCCTGCTCTCTTCGTGACTGGGCCTGTGCCTACCGGGGCCTACCGGAAGCTTCCTGGACTGGACGCAGGCAGGCCACTTCGATATAGGGAAGGGCCTGCCTCCTCATTCGCCATTCGGGTGCTGGCTGCATGCTGCGCAAGCGCTGCTGCGCTCATTGCTGGCTGGCTGGCACTCACGCTCTCACGGACGAGCAGGGAGGTAGCGGGCAGCCATAGCCGAGCTGCTCCGCTGTAGGCTGGATGTGACGCAGGGTGGTCCTTGGGTGCAAGTGGCATCTGTGCGGTGTGGATCGAGGTTGTGAGTGTTACGAGAGACATACCTGGTGCTGGAAGCGTGCGGCATTGTCCGCTGTATTCTCGTACTTCAGGGAGCTGTTGTTGTCAACATCGGCATTGTAGTATTAGGCTAGATGGGATCTGCCACAAGTAGTCTGGGCGCCGAGCGCCAATAGGATATCAACTCTTGTTCTTTGTTGATGATGATGAGAGACTATTTCAGCATTGTCAATTACGAACTATTGGTGTGTTCTGATTTGGTGAATCTCGTGATGCATGACTGCTGTTGGTTCGAGGTCAAGACTATCTGGACACATATGTATGATGCTGTTTGATTGCTGGAGTTCGCTAATGCTCATCTTCCTTGCAAAAAATCGTTTCAACCACGAAATAAATGGCGGCGGCAATTCAACGCATTTTCCATTTTTGCCGCTCGGGCGGTTCTCCCCAATGTGCTACTGGTAGTCCTCAAGAACCTCTGCCACCGGTCCCGCCCAGTTTAGGACGGCGGGGGTAGTGGTGATTTAAGTTAGAAGGCCTTTAGTCTAGATGCGGCAAGGGGAGGCTTTTTTGTCCCATTTCCCATCCCGGAAATGAAAGACGTGGTCCTTCCCGACATCCACTAAAATTGGAATGGTACAGAGAAGAGTAGCAGGCCCGTGGGCAAAGAAGATTAGCATGGCCCCTGTGCAAGGATGACACACAAAAATCGAGAAATGGGCCAAATTTAGAAATGAGATACACCTTTGGGCATTTAACTTTGACGTTCCTGGCCGCAATTTCGATGTTTGTCGAACCGAAATCGTCAAGGATTACCGGGTTCGCGCCAGTAGGACATGACAATTTCAGTTCAACAAACGCCGAAATTGTGGCCAGGAACATCAAAGTTAAATTGAATAAATTCCCAAAGGGATAAGTGTGTCTGCTATGTTTATTGCTGTTCGAACCCCATATCTACTTTTAGCGCATAATTTAAGTTACCAGGCCGATGTTTGTCGAACCGCAATCGTCAGGGATTACCGGGTTCGCGCCAGTAGGACATGACGATTTCAGTTCAACAAACGCTGAAATTGTAGCCAGGAACATCAAAGTTAAATTGAATAAATTCCCAAAGGGATAAGTGTGTCTGCTATGTTTATTGCTGTTCAAACCCCATATCTATTTTTAGCCCATAGCGGGGGGAAGGAGTGGGAGGAACAATGGGGTGAGCGTTGGATTTTAGCTTTTGAACAGACGTGTGTGCATTAGTGCGCAACAATCTGGAAGTAGCTGAGGTTGGAAGGGGAGCAGCACCACCTGTTGGAACCAAAAAAGTCTCTGGGCGGGTGGGTGGATGCGCAGATGAGGGGTAATGATGATGGATGTCTTTGCGTTTTGCCTGACAAGTTATGCCCCCAGTGCACCAGAGGCTGTTTTTCCCGATAGTTGATATTTTGCCCCCTCCTGGAATATTGACTTGCCTCAAGTCGGTGGAGACGTTCAAAGAGACTGGCCAGAACTGGGTCAGGAGTCAGGACTTACCAGGGGGGGCTGCTAGTTTTTCTGATCGGGCAGGTCAGACTTGAATGCGGCCCTCTGCTAGGGCAGGGGGTGCACAGGACCGGAGCGTTGTTATGTTCTGGAGGTGTTAACAACCATTGCCTCCAAGCGAAGTTACCCCCCAAGCGAAGTTACCCCCCAAGCGAAGTTACCCCCCAAGCAAGTTACCCCCCAAGCGAAGTTACCCCCCAAGCAAAGTTACCCCCCAAGCGAAGTTACCCTCCAAGCGAAGTTACCCCCAAGCGAAGTTACCCCCCCAAGCGAAGTTGCCCAATCGGCGTGTCTTTGCAAGCCTGGAGCGCTGACCAAAAACGTTTTTGGCCTGCTGGTCGCAGCAGGGAGCAAAGATATGTGTACCATTGCGGCCACTATTTTTGTTTTTTCAACTTTTTGGCCATCTGGATTTTTTCTTCTTTTAATTTTATGATGTTTTCTGCAGAGAAGCATTCAGACTGTGACCCTGAGTTTTTTTTCAGGATTTTCATAAAACATTTGGGATCGACACTCACAATTTTGCGCACTGCCACCTGTAGGAGCAGGGAACAAAATATGCATATTATTTGCATAATTTTGCCGCCAGTACTTTTGTCTTTTGCCGTCCAGACTCCAGAATTTGTTTTTTGATTTTTACTGAGTGAGGACGCCGCGCGGCCGGGCCTGCCCTGCCGGGCTGGGCCCAGCCGGGCTGGGCCCAGCCGGTTGGGCCCGGGGGGCCCGCCCGGGTAAACCGGGCAGGACAAAAAAACACCCAGAATTTTTTGAAACCGCGGTCTTTCTGCGCTCGGCGAGAGGACCCCGAATCTGCAATAAAATTTTGGTTTTGGTGGGGGGATGGGGGGGTTGGTCTGGGTGGGGGG